TCGCCTCGCCACTGTAACGCTACCTCCCAATCTGATCGATCTCCTACGCGCATTGCTCCTGAATCCCAATCTCTCTCGGATCCACTCTGGGTTTCTTTCTTTCCGCCATGGGCAAAGGAGGAGCTCTGAGCGAGGGCGTGGTGAAGAAGATCTTGATTTCCTACGCCTATGTCGCCGTCTGGATCTTCCTCTCCTTCACTGTCATCGTCTACAACAAGTACATCCTCGATCGCAAGCTCTACAATTGGCCCTACCCCATCTCCCTGACCATGATCCACATGTCCTTCTGCTCCTCCCTGGCCTACCTCCTCGTCCGGGTCCTCAAGGTTTTCGAACCCGTCTCCATGTCCTGGGATCTCTACCTCAAATCCGTCGTCCCCATCGGCCTCCTCTATTCCCTCTCCCTCTGGCTCTCCAATTCCGCCTATATTTTCCTCTCCGTCTCCTTCATCCAGATGCTCAAAGCCCTGATGCCCGTCGCCGTCTACTCCATCGGCGTTCTCCTCAAAAAGGAGTCTTTCAAGTCCGAGACCATGGCCAATATGGTCTCGATCTCGATCGGGGTTGCCATCGCAGCCTACGGCGAGGCCAAATTCGACTCCTGGGGAGTGATTCTCCAGCTTGGCGCTGTGGCTTTCGAGGCCACCAGGCTGGTCATGATCCAGATTCTTCTCACCTCCAAGGGTATTACGCTGAATCCCATTACATCTCTCTATTATGTGGCTCCCTGTTGCTTGGCCTTCCTGTTTGTGCCTTGGGTTCTGGTCGAGTTCCCAGTTCTCAAGGAGAATTCCAGTTTCCATTTTGACTATTTCATCTTTGGTACCAATTCTTTCTGTGCATTTGCTCTGAACCTCGCCGTCTTCTTGCTCGTGGGAAAGACTTCGGCTTTGACTATGAATGTGGCTGGCGTGGTTAAGGACTGGCTGCTGATTGCCTTCTCCTGGTCTGTGATTAAGGACACTGTGACCCCTATCAATTTGTTGGGATACGGCCTGGCTTTCTTGGGTGTGGGTTACTACAATCACTCCAAATTGCAGGCCCTAAAAGCTAAGGAGGCGCAGAAGAAGACTGCACAGCCCGATGAGGAGGCTGGCAGGTTGTTAGAGGCAAGGGATGCTGAAAACGACCGGAAGAATGAGTCTCAAGGCTAAGTTAAAAAGTCTTGCTTCAATACTTGCAGCTTTGCAGGATGCTATAGGATGAGAAGAATTGAGATAATGAAGATGATCCAGTGGGTGTCTGTTCGCCGTGGACTCACACTTCTTAGGTGCCTTATTTAATAATCTCTCTTGTTTTGTTCTTTGCTATGTGTTTTTTGTCCATCTAATGTTTTAGCTATAAATCGATCTTTTTCTTTATGCGGTCTATCATGGATCTGACTTATTATTCGTTGCTCGTATTGCCACATCCCATATGTGTATGTGTCTTGAGCAGACTTGAGGCTCACTATCTCTTTTTCCGAACATAATGCATACGGAGTACTATTTATTGTTGTAGCTCTTAATTTCATGAGACGGGTTTTCTTCGTGTTCGTTTATCTTGTTCCATATAAATCACACTGCCTTAAGCAATCTCTTGATTACCAACCCTTGATTGCATGATGCATATTGTTTAAAAAAGTATTACTGAATGGTAATAAATTGGCCAAGATTTAAGGTTGTGTATGTATCATACATAACCTGTACTATATAACTCTTTTCTTGACATGAATTTGGTTTAGGTTGTATGATAACAGAGGATGATTCTGTCACTTGTTGTACTTGTTCGGTAGCCCTTCATTACAAACTGTGCTGCCTAAGCTTTTGACAAACGAAAATGAGAAATTGTTCTTTGTCCAACAAAGTATTGAGTAGCTATTCATTGCTTTCAGCTCATTTTGTCAAACTTAAGAAGCATATTACAATCCAGTTTTAAGATTTTCATGACATTGGAATGGTGAGGTTGCATTTTAAGGTGATGATTAGTGTCGTCAACTCACCAACATACACATAGATTTCTTCATCCTATAACCCATTGATTGCCGCCATGAACTTCAGATCAACGGTGCCTACACAAACATCATGTGTTTGTGTAGTACCCCCTCTATCTGAGTTAAATTGTTTGTTTACTGTTCGCATTGTCAAATTTCATTTATTTTCTTTCCATATTTTTGTTACTCATTTGCTAAAATAATATGGTCATGTCATCTATTGTTTTATAGAACATTTGATGTCGTTTTTCACGTAGACATACATAGAGGCACAAAATCACACAAATACACAAACTCGTAAATTATTGTTTATCACAAGTTAAGCTGGGTTGGAGTTTCTTGGTTTTATTAGTTGAACTTTGTGCCTCACATATTGTTTGGTTCTTTGTATTAATCAGATCACTTAGAACTAGTCCATTTATTGTTCTTGTTGCAAGTAGTTTCATCCCAAAGACTTGAGGAGCTGCAAATAAGTATAGTCTGTAAGCTCATAGCAAGAAACAGGCCAAAAAACCCAAATCTAAATGACGAACTTGTTGAATCGTTCTCTCATTATTAAACTATTCCAATGAGTTTTTTTTAATCGCCTCATGTTACCTCTGGAGGTTTGTCAGAAACACATGACGCTTGAATCAAGTTTTACAATCAGAATACGAAAATCGGCCCGGTTCCATGGCCATTGGATCCCAGTCCCCCTACGGAGCTCCGTTCATAAAATTGATGATTTCTACCCCTCTAACCTCCCGGTAAACCCCCCGCTAAGTCCCGACCCAAACTAATCACCCCACATACGTCAATTGCACCTCGTAAGTATAATTGACTTTAAAGTCAAAAATTTTGACTTTATACTTACGAGGTGCAATTGACGTAGGTGGGGTGATTAGTTTGGGTCGGGACTTGGCGGGGGGTTTACCGGGAGGTTAGAGGGGGTAGGAATCATCAATTTTATGAACGGAGCTCCGTAGGGGGGCAGTGGCTTCCGTAGCCACTGGAATCCAATGGCCATGGAACCGGGCCGTACAAAAATAATAACTAAAGGATTCTATAATACACCTCGACTGGTAGTGAATGAAAATCTCACTTATTCTATAATGACCATAATCATAACTACCCCCTCCCCTTCCCCAATTGTAGTATTAGAGCACTGGTGGCAGTAAGTTAATTTTTTTTCTCACAACTCTCTCTCTCTTCTCTCTCTCTCTCGCTCTGCACTTTTCCCTCTCCTTCACCTAATCTTTTTTGTGTGAAAAAAATTGGAATAGTTTTTCTGTGCTTATAAGTAGACTGACAATTGGGTCAATCAGTTCGGTTTTGTTTTGGATATTTTCGGTTCAGATTTCTTTCGAATATATGTTAATTATAATCCGTTGGGTTCTGGGTTTATTTTGGTTTGACTGGTTTTTGGTTTCGGTTCAGGTTTGTATCGGTTCGGGTTTGTATCGGTTCGGGTTTGTATCGATTCGTGTTTATATCAATTCGGATTTGTATCGGTTTAGGTTTATATTGGTTCAGGTATATTTCAAATATATACTAATAAATCAATAATATCTCATAATAAATTTAGTCAATTTGTGACATAATTCGTAGTTATTTTATTATTTAACATGGACGTACATAAAAAAATAATACTTGCATAATTGACTAATTATTTACATTCTAAAGTTTACCTCCTAAAGTTTTCGGTGCGATCTTTTTAGTAAACATTCTACTTCATACTTCCTCTATTTTCATTTAATTGTCCACTTCACTTTGTGTGTCAAATATATAATGAATTAAAATATACATAGTAGAAATTATTACCAAACTATTGGTATCGAAAAACACTTTAAATGTATTATTTTTAATATTTTTGCTAATATTTTTGAAGAGACAATGTTGGTCAAACTTTAAGTTTGAAGACAATAAAATGCAAAAATACTTTAACTTAAGTTATAAAATACAGAGTAAAAGATTTGTATATGAAAGTAGTTGCACGGTTTGCACCCATAATATAAATATGTTTGTTTAGAAACACATCAATACATGTAAAAATATATCGGTAATTTTTTTTCTCCAAGTCCATTTGATAAACGAAATATTGATGAATTTGATCAATTTTGGGTCTAATCAGTTTCGGGTTTAATCGGTTTCGGTTTCAACCAGTTTGGGTTAAATCAGATTCAATCTGAATCGGGTCTGAATAGATTCGATTTGGTTCAGATCATTCCAGGTGTTCAATTCTACTTCATTTCTTCAGTTTTCGGGTCAATTCGTGTTCAATTCTGGGTTATTTGGTTCGGGTTATCGGGTCCGGGTCAGTTTTTCCAGGTCTACTTATAAGCTAGTCAAACTTTCTTATAAGCTGTTTTGAACTTATAGCTCAACAGATGACATATTTCTCTATGCTTATAAGCTACTTATAAGCTAAAAAATAAGTAGGTCTTACTTATTTTTAAATCACTTTTTCCGTTTCTCCGTTTTAGCGTGATTACTTACAAAACTATCTCTCACCTATTATTACTATCCACAAATGATTTATATACGGAGTATCATTTAAGTTATTTTATCTACATGAAATAATTTTTAACTTATAAGCAGTTTATAAATTAAAAATTGTTTGTAAGCAATAAGTCAATAAACTCCAGCACAGAGAAACTCCCGCAAACTCACTGCCTTGAGTGGTCCTATATGGTTTCATTAATTATTTCCATAAATCCGTGACAAGAATCTTTCCTCATGCGAAGTACAAAGTATATGATATTCCAAAACTATGTTCAAAAAAATCTATTCATATTATTTTTATATTACAACTTAATGCATTTTATCTACGATTTGCGGTCAAAATTTAAGAAAGTGAACCAAAAAGATAAAAAATGATAAGAAAATTATAAGAGGAAGGAGTATTTTTTACGATTGATTATTGACAATAAAACTGTTTTTTAGAAAGACGCAGGGCATTAGAATTAACAGAGGAATCACCTACAAAGGAGTGATTGGGTACAAATAAATTATCCGAAATATAAATAAAATTTACATTGTGATAATGACATTGTATATGAACATTTCATAATAGTTTTTGATAATATATATGGTCATAATTGGTACTGTATAAACTGTACATTTTAACGCTTATCTCGAAAATAAAAATATAAAACTATTATTTTGATATATTTTAAATGTTTTAGTTCTATTTTAATATTTTTTCTATTTTTTTTTATATAAGATGTTGGGAGGAAGGGTAGTCGGTAGATTAATTTGGACTTTTGGTAGGACCAAGGCGCTATTTTAGGAGTATTTAATATTGTGAATTTATGAAGGGGTATGACTTAATGACTATCATCCATTCATCCCCATAATAAATACGGAGTAAATAAATAAAGGGAATATAACGAGAGATATCCTTTTATCTGAGAGCACCCAAAGGAATATTCCCCGCTCTGCACCTTCCTTATATTCCTCCGCTCCGATCCCCTTTCCCTCATTTTTCGCTTCTCTAACTCCCTCTTCTGAAGAGAGATACAGAGATCGAGCATATGAAGTTCGGCAAGAGTTTGAGCAACCAGATTGGGGAGACGTTGCCGGAATGGAGGGACAAGTTCCTCTCCTACAAAGACCTCAAGAAGCGCCTCAAGCTCATTGAGCCCAAGGGATCTGCTGCGGGTTCAGCCACCCCCGTGGACGGAGACGGGAGAGCCTCCAAACGCCCCAAATTGGCCGGCGCCGGCGAGGCCGCGGCTGCGAATTGGTGCGGTGAGAAGGGGAACATCACGGAGGCGGAAGCCTGCTTCGTCAAGCTGTTGGAGGAGGAGCTAGAGAAATTCAACACCTTCTTTGTCGAGAAGGAGGAGGAGTATATTATCAGATTGAAGGTAATGAATCGATTCTGTCTTGATTTCTTTGCAATTTCTTAATTGAAATGTAATCTTGCTTCGTAGTAATTATTGTAATTGTGATTGGTCTCCTCGAATTTTATTCAAGTTCTTGAGAAAATGTCTTAGTTTTAGGGTTTAGATTGCAGGGAGATATGAAATTATTGATACTGCACCGATCTGTTAGGATTCGGTTCATATTTCTTGAAAGAGAACTCAAAGCCTTAACAAATAACGTCATACTCACTGTTCCATTTACCTGTAAAAAGATTTAACTTATGCTCAAACACTTTCACAAGTAAGTGTTTGACTTGTTTTTTTTGGTGGAATTCTAATCTTCATAGTGCTAAACTTGCATAGAAAAACCATCTTCATCTTTATGAGAAAAAACATATACGGAGTATAAGTAGAATTAAACACTCTCAAATCACCTTGAAGCCGGTACGGTTTAGCTTTGATACTATGATCTGATTAGAATTAATGTGTGCAATTTGGATTTTCTTGTAGAATCACAGTGACAATTTCACTCAAGCATTAGCTTGGTATTCAAAATGTGAGTTTTTGTGATGAATTGGTGTGCAGGATCTCCAGGACAGAGTGGGAAAGGCCAAAGACTGCAGTGATGAGATGATAAAAATTCGGAAGGAGGTTGTGGACTTCCATGGAGAGATGGTTCTATTGGAAAACTACAGCGCCCTTAACTACACAGGTAAGTTCAGTTTTTTTTCTCTCTGACCATATTATGAATTGCAATTGTATTCTAAGTTAAGTATGTTATAACACCACAGGGCTAGCAAAGATACTCAAGAAGTACGACAAAAGGACGGGCACCCTCCTGCGCCTGCCCTTCATCCAGAAAGTCCTACAAGAGCCCTTCTTCACGACCGACTTGCTATACAAACTTGTGAAGGAGTGTGAGATACTGATCGATCGCCTCTTCTCTTTCAATGAAGCCTCGCGGGCAACTGGTGCGAATGACGAACCATCAACCAGCATACCCACCAAAAGTGATGGTCTACTCAGAGCCGGGGCCCCAAAGGAGCTTGCAGAGATCGAGTACATGGAGAGCTTGTTCATGAAGAGCACCTTGTCTGCATTGCGGGTTCTGAAGGAAATTCGTAGCAGAAGCTCCACTGTGAGCGTTTATTCATTGCCACCCCTGCAAACTAATGGAGTTGATGATTCTTGGAATAATAAAATCCCAATCTTGGAACAAGAAGCAAAGTAGTCTGACTAAATATGTAGTAATGTTACTCCCTCCACATTGTCATTTTCTTGTTTTTTTTTTTTTTGAGGAAATGCATCTGTTATAGTTGCATTAGATATACCACTAACATGAATGAAATGGTTGTTTAAAAACACGAATGAAATGGAAGCTGTGCTGTAAGCCTACAATGAAATACACGTACTATTGTTTTATCTCTAATTCTGGTTCTGATGTGAGAAATTATTTATCCAGTTAACTCAGGTCATGAGTCCGTAATATATATGCCCACTTTAAGAGCATTGTTTTTAAGAGAATCGATTAATAATGATGTAATTATACAATACATTGAGACTCTTCATTATTTAAAAATCACAGGAATTTTTGTTTATTTGTGTCTTTACTCTTTCGTGTAATGTAAAGGGATGTTCAAGTTTAGGCCTGGACTGAAAAAAGTGATAACCGTTAGGCCCAGACTGAACTTGGACTAATTGAATTTCTAGTGAGTCTTTGGTCCAAAAAAATTAAGCATTTGGGTTTTAGTCTGGTCCGGTCCAAACTCGATATGACTTAGGTTTGGACCGAATGGACCTAAAAAATCAAAACACTAAAGCTCTCCTTTTTAAATTTGATATTACACGTTGATACTCGATTTTGATAGATATCTTAATTACGGAGTATTTAATTAAGAAGGTTTTTTTTAAGTAATTTTTTTTAACAATTCAAAAAAAATGTTTCATACGGAGTATTTATTTTTTAGGATTATACAAAAAAGTAGTCAATGTTGTGTATATATTTTAAGTTTGTCCATTTTTTATTTTTTCTTATTTGCATGGTATAAATTAAAAAGCCTAAAACATAATTAATAGATCAAAATAATTTTAAAAAATTTTTTTTGGTCCAACCGATCCAGACCAATTCGGTCCTAGGTATTTCGATCCGCTCCAGTTCAAACCTAAATAGATTTAGGTCATGTCTGATTTAACCCGGTTCAGTCCGGTCTTGGGACGGAAGGAGTATTACTTTAATGATACTAGAGATTGGTATTTGGTAATAGTGTTCAAAGCTATACACTCCGCGCGCGCGTTTGTGTGTACGATGAGGTTTTAGTGACACCGGAGTACGATGACACTCCGGTGCCACTGTCATTTTGGGACACTTCTGACACTCCGTTAATAAAATTGAAGGTTCCTAACCCCCCTAACCACCCCATAAACCCCCCACCCTACCCCCGACCCGGTGCCACCACTCCAATCCTGCCGTAAGGCCCCCACAAAATGTGTGGCTGTTATGTATTGCATAATAGTCACACATTTTATGTGATTTTATTATTGATTATCATATTATTCAAATGCCAAGTAAACAATTTTTTTATCAAAGTATCATACTGATTAACAATTAAAGTATGTTTCGATGTTAGATTTGATTTTTATTTTTTAATCACACCAATTTCCAAAAAATTTGAAAATAATTTCAATCAAATATCATAAACCAAAACATTTTAAATTGAGACGGAGGGAATAACTTACTCTAGGCGTGTTTTTTGTATATCTCAACGTGTGTGTTAGTTATACAACACAATTGAGTCCCACTCTTTTTAAGGTTCAAGGAATTTGAGAGTGAAAGAAAAAGAAAGTGATAAAGAAAACATTTTTCTTGTTTGGTTAGAGAGGAAAAGAAAAGAATGTGGAAGGAAAAGATAATGAAAAGACAAAATCTACTAAGATGATGGAAAATCAAATTCCTCCCATTTTAGTGAGAAAACTGAAGGAAAACCATTTTCTTTTTTTTTTCCTTCCAAATGCCTTTAACCTATGTAGTAACACTAAGTTTGGTTCAAGGAATTTGAAAGGGAAAAGAAAAGAAAATGCAGTGGAAAACAGTTTTTCATGTTTGGTTGGAGAAGAAAAGTGAAAGGAAAAGAAAAATGAGAAGACAAATGTACTAAGTGGAGAAAAAACCAAATTCCTCCCATTTTGGTGAGGAAAATGAGAGAAAATCATTTTCTTTTCTTTTCCTTTCTTCCAAAGTCCTTGAACCAAACTTACACTTGTGCTAGTTGTCGAAAGAAAATGTGTACAACGAGATAGAACTATTTTGTACGGATGAACAAATAAAAAAGAAAGCAGTTGAAAATGTAGAATAATCAAATGGAGATTAAGTTTACCAGCCAGCTATTAATTAATTGAGAGTTGTTGCAATTACAGCTACAGCTCTCAACTTTAAATATGAACAACACTAACACCTATTGGTAAAACAAGAGGCAGAAATTCATGGTTTGAAGTGGCCAGCGAAGAAAAATGACTGAAAAGCCCTCCATCATCCTTCTCCTCACTGCCCTCATCTTCTTGATCACAACAACCAGAGCTTCAAGAGATCTTTCAAAACAGCCAAATATTGATAAGTCTTTCACTGCCAATAATGCCAGCCACAAGGTAAGTTTTACATATCAATAATTAAATCCCCCAAAAAATGCTCAATTTCAGAAGCCAACAACAAAAAAAAATAGGGTTGTTTTAATCACTTCTATTGAAATGGTTTGATTTCAGATTGGCTCAGGCAAGTGTTCATACACAGTGAGCATCAAAACAAGCTGTTCCTCAGTGAAGTACACCAGAGATAAAATCAGCCTTTCATTCGGCGATTCTTACCGGAATGAGGTGAAGATCAATCCTTATCAATATATTGTATTCTTTATGTCCCAAAACTAAAGAAACGCACTTTGGACAATAATAAATATAGCATTAAATAAATAAATGTTAAATAAATAAAATGAACCAAAATATATTAAATTTACATTGTAACTAAATGCACTTTTTTCACAATTTATGGTCAAAGTATGTAGCAATTTGACCAAAAAAGTCAAAATGTGCCTTTAGTTTTGGGAGGGAGGGAGTATATCTGATGACTTATTGTTAAACATTACTCGTTACGCCAATAGTTAAGACTTGGAGTTCCATTCTAGAAGGTCACACACCTACCTTAGTAAGAGGGGAAGTCTAAAGTCTTACATATTGGTTTGTGTTTTCATATTTAATGGATGTGAATCGGCTCAAAAACCAAGCAACAATTTGTGTTTGGCTATCAGGTTTATGCACCGAGGCTTGACGATCCCCATTCGAAGACATTTGAGAGATGCTCAAAGGACACATTCCAGATCCAGGGGCCCTGCATGTATGATATCTGCTATCTCTATCTATACAGGGTGGGATCAGACGGCTGGAAACCGGAGACTGTCACAGTGTACAGTCCTAACCACAGGTCTATTACCTTTAAGTACAACAAATTTGTACCCCGGGGAGTGTGGTATGGCTTTAATGAATGTAACAGTGTCTCCTCCTCAGCTGCTGCTTAGATGAGAGAAGAGAAGTTGATACTAAGTGAATTTGCATGGTTTGATTATTGGGTTGTTAAAATAATTTGAGTTTGGAGTTTAAATTGCAATAAATTTCATCATGCTTTTGGTCTGATTATGTGAATGATGGATATGAAGTTCTCTGCCATTTGGAAATTACTTAGGATTCTTATACCATGCTGCAAACTACACTTTGCATTCATTTCAAAAGGAGAGCTATAATTCTAGTGAAATTTGCCCTAGATATAGTACTAAAAGATGTACTTTTTCCTAATATAAGACTCTTAATATTTTATACGCCTTGAATAAGATTTAATTTATTAGTTATGGAGTAATTAGTAGTGTTCATATGCTAAAATGCACTTAGTTAACTATGAAGTATTAATTAAATCCTACCCCGATTCTCCCTTCTTGTTCTTGTACTCTCCTACAACCTCCTCCTGTGCCGCTTATTTCCACTGCCATCTGCAGCCATGCCTACTGTAGTCAAACAATTTCCCCTAATTCTTGTACCCAGCTTCCATATGTTCCTTTTAGTTTGTTTCACAATCTTTATCACTTTCTAAAAATTGCTGTCCCCAATGTAACTGCACGCCTCAAGGCGTTCAATTTGAGATGAAGGCTTCAACAATTAACCTATAAGGCTATAACAAAGGTTTCCTCCGTGCCCATGGATTTGTTTCCTTCAAAATGGTAAAATTAGACAATTAACTTAATGCATATTGTTACTTTCCTAAATGACACCTTAAAAGTTATCTCAACCCTATTATCTCACTTAATAATTGATATTTGTTTAAAAAGTAATCAAATTAAGATGAGAGCACTAAAAATATTATGAAAATGAGTGGTTAAGTCTCACACAAATGACCACAAGAATCAAATTGTATGCAACTATGCACCATTTTATTCAAATCCAATACGGATTAAAGCATTTTTACCATTTTGTTGGCATGGTTTGGTGGTAAATAGCACTCGATTTAGTCATTGAATTATTCATCAAAAGTGCTCATGAATCCACCAGTAAAGCCAGCTCCGTTGCAATTACCACAAAGAATCTCGTTCTTACCTCTGCAGAAAAAACACTAAAGTCTTACCGCCTGCTTTTTTCAACCAAAACAAAGACATAGCATAGCATTAACTCCCTCCGTTCCTTTATAGTGTTCCGGATTCGGTTTACGATGTTTGACTAAAACTATTTTCATTTCAGTTTATTCAAAAAATAGTGTAGAATAAAAAATAAAAATTTATATTAAATAAGTTCTACAAAACAAGAGGTGGTTTAAACATGTGAGTTTAATTGTTTATCAACACTAATATGGAACAAAGGGAGTATCTAAGATGTCATTCCCTTGCACTTATTTTAGATTTTTCATTCCGTGACAGCGAAAAAATTGTTTTTGTGTGAGCAGCCGAGGAGTTATAGGCAATGGCACAACGCCTTACCGGCAAAGCCAGCAAAGTTGACCGGCTTTAAACTGCCCGTTGAAATGATCAATAGAGTTTACACCACTTCCTTTGCATTGCGAACACAATACTGCCCCTGTCAATTAAGTATTAAAATTAATGGCTAAAATATAATCTAAACCAAAAAAAAATGCAAAGCTTGTTTGCAACGAGAGTGAAACAAAAAGTGGAAGTGATGTGTTTTGATACATCTAAAGAAAAAAGAAACTATACTTGTTAGTGTATAGAA